TATCTACTTGGCCGTCTGTCTATTTATTTGTATATTGTCTGTCACGGAAATAGGGGGGGGGGCTCAAGAATAGGGTCAAAGGGGAAATCGTAAACTTGGGCTTCAAAGGGGATACCGTTTCCAGAATTCCAGAATGCAACCTCCTGCCAGGTCCTGTGCGCGGCAGCTCGGAATAGCACATTTGGATCAGCGTTTGAAGCTGATTCGGAATACGTATGTCCCTTGTCATAAGGCAAGCTAAGTTATGTAGCATTCCTCGTGAGATAAAAAATTGTTTGACGCCCCTCACCCATTTGAGACATTGAAGTGGTTGCTTGTGAGTCTGATCGAACATTTTTAAAGGAAACGGTAACGAAGAAAAACTAGCATATAAAATAACTTAATATGCATAGCTTTCAGAAGCTGGATACATTACAAAAACGGTGATGTCTAAAAGCTTATTATGACAAGTGTTAATTTGAGTAAAACCCTAAAACAGAAACAAGTTATCATCGGCTAGGTCTCTCATATCCTGCAGGGAAACATTTCTGACGCTAATTCGCTGCAGTTTACATAATTCTCGATAGGATGCTAATATTGACATCTGTACGGGCATTTCTCATTTATCTCAGCGCATGTTAATACGCTCAATGGCGCTCAAGATTAAAGAGCATGATGAATGTTTTATGAGCAACGAGTTCAGCTGCACGAGTTTCTCGCTCGAGAAGAGAGTGACAGAATTATGTACACGAAATGTTTCAGCAAAAAGACAACGAACAATGAAATCCAAGAAGACTGGCACAGAAACTGAAAGCGAGTGTTTGTTGTGTGGGAAAACCAACAGGGTGGAGCTGTTGGCTGCATCGACCGCGACCTGTCCGAATTCCGGTTTGTGTCCTCGCGAAAGCGTTTGGAAGTGTTTTGGGTTCGCTTCACAGCTTGAAAGAGAGGCACGAGTCCCGTTCGAGGAAAAAGTTCCAGTTTTCCCTGAGAGCGCATAAGGAGCTTTCAAACTCGCTTTGGTGGAAAAATGCAGGAATTTACTTGGTCGAAGGCAATATATCAAGTTGTTACACGAGCTTTGTCACACTTTTTCGTCTTACTCTGGAAAACTCTAGAAATTTCGGCAAAATCTCATGAAGGCACATGAAGATGAGATGAGAAGATATCCATTGGCATTTTTTTCGACTTTACGGACTTCAGTTGCAAAATATAAATGATTCTCTAACGGCACTTCAAACTCCATTTTTTCATCACTTTTTGAATTCTCTCATTTCTCTTTATCATATTCTTGAGTTTTATGACTACGGGGAGCATCAGTAGCAACATGAAGGCAGTTCAAAGTTCAAGCTCTTCTCAGTCATAAAACTCAAGAATATGATAAAGAGAAATGAGAGAATTCAAAAAGTGATGAAAAAATGGAGTTTGAAGTGCCTTTAGAGAATCATTTATATTTCTTCAGTAATGCAAGTTAGGAATTTCTCAAAAATGACTCAAAAATTTTTAAAATTGAATGGTACTGAGGTGTAATGCATTCCGTATGTAATGTAATTATGCAATGTAATGTATTGTAATTATCTAACTGCAATGTATTCTTAATGTCATGTACATATAGGAAATCAACATTTCACGTAGCCAACGAGGAAAAATCTTTTGAGTTCAAAAGATTTCGAAAAGATATTTTTGCATTTGGCCAAAATTATGGAAGTATATTTTTTATTCCATACGTCAAATAAAACTCGGCTATTCTACCACTTTTCTCACAAACACCAAAAAAAACTCTCCTCATGAATTCAAGTAAGAGCGAGTAAGGGAAGAGTGGGAGGAGAGAAGAAGGAAAAGAGAGGAATGCATAATGACGGCAATTGATTGTTACTTAAAATGAAGAAAATAGCAGCATAGCAGGTTTTCGTCAGTGTCCTCATGCTAATTCTTCATAAATTAATTTTATGGACATTATTTCCTATTATTCGACGTTAAAAACCATTATATGGCATCACATCAATTGCGTCATTCAATAATCTGATTTTTGGTACCTATCCTTTTCCCTTTCGAAAAAAACATTAAAGGAGATACTAAGGCAAGGAACGTGCGAACTGCATCATAAATTCTGCAGGACATCTCGTTTGCGGAGCTACGACCACATTATGATAAATGAGATTTGTCGGACGTTGCACTAATTAGCACGACGATAAAGTGCATGTCAGCGATGTTCTTGCAAAAGCAGCGGATACTCAGTCAGGAATAGAATGTGAGCCGCATAATTTGTCTTTGAATGTTCTCTTTCTGTCCGGCCGAATCTGCTACGCAAGTTCTCAAAAGGAGCAAGATATGAACAGAAATTTCAAAACCGCATGAAAATGTGCATCCTTTGATTCAACTGAGTTAGCTGCTGGAAGGCGGGGCTTCGTGCCTAGTTGGGGCTAAAAAGTGTTCGGAGAGTATGAACGCGAGAGAGACGCAGATTGCGTGGCGGACGCGAGCGGCCATAATTAGGTCACAAAGCTCCGCCTTCCAACCGCCAATACAGCTGAAGAATGTTAATATCCACGTTGTCAGGTGATCAATGAATGGGTGGAGAGATGAGTATAGAAAAACAGACATTAGCTCAATGAGAATTAGAAACGGAGCGGCGTAGCCACTTTTTCCAATGAAAGTTTATGCAAATTCAGGAGATTTGAAGAAAAGTGCGAAAGTTGTTCATGTACACGAAATGAGGAAGTCGGAAGAACTCATGTATTATTCAGTCATTTTACTTGCTACTTCACTGAAAAAAACTCACACCTACTTCGCTAAATGACTGTGTTTTCATGTGCATGTTTTCAAATCCAAGAATTCTTATAAATAAGTAAGTTATCTTGAGAAAGTGAAATTATTATGTTGAGTTCTAGCGTAAACTTAACATGTCATTTTACTTTACCTTGATACTTCAATATTTTTTAATTTTTTTGCCACGCTTCTGCAACCTTCAACAATTTGTTCAAGGCTGCAGGGAAATGTTATGTCGAGGTGTAAATGTGAGAACATCTCGTCATGAGATGACGAATAGTATAAAAAGAAGAAAGTAAACAGTACTTTTGAATAAAACTTCAGACATGGCTTTTCCAGCATAATGTGAGATGCAAACAGCATGAAATGGCAGATTTTATTTTTTGTGGCAGGTGATTAGAAGCAATCGTCACGCCCTTACAAGGTAGAAAGTATTCTGCAAGAGAGCAATCAGTAACATCAAGTTTCGTGACTGAATGCAAAGCCCTCATTATTTGCTTCTTTACTTCATCAAATTCTTCCTTTTCAGAAAGAAAGCTGAAAGAAGCGCATATCAACTTTTCTCTAGGAAATGACAAAAAAAACACTAGATTAGCTGATGATGTAACCGAATATCCAGTTGTTGCGCCAGTGAAGACGCATGATTCTGCGATCTCTATCGGTGCAGATGTGACCGGTCCTGTTCATTAGCAGTGGAATGTTGTTTTGGCTTATGCTTGATCGATGGTCGAAGCAATCACTTTCTTAAGGAAAAATGTGTTTGATCCATTTATTGAGGAAGAATAGAATATTAAGAAGAATGTATTAATCAGAAAAAAGTTTCACCTATAGAATGCCAAGCAGGGAGTATCTATCTTAGGGCATCGATTTCTCAGTCCATATATATTCGAAAAATTTATTCAAACGTGCAATATATAAACAATGTTTATCTCATACAGTAGCTATGTTTTCATAAGAAATCGTTCATTTGCGCTTGAATCGTGGCCGAGAAAGTTAAACGCACCGTTCACCTTAAGTGAGGGTGTTGAGCTTTTGGCAGCATATAATAGTATGCCCAAGTCGCAGCGCAAAATGTCGCTTCAGAAGCAAAAATCGTTTCAGAACAGCACCCCCCTCTCCCATCCATGCCCCCCCCCATCACCGCCACCCAGCCAATCACCGTTTCGGTAAGCCGGCCTGTGGGTTCTCCGAACAGGGATTGCCGGGGTTTTCGCGCATTCTCGGCTCCATATTCGGAATCAGGGCATGAGAAGGCCCTGGAATGACAAAAACCTGGAGGTCGAGAATCTGGGTGGACGGTGCCTTTGAATGGGCCAATCTGCAGAGCGAGGTTCAACTTACAATTGGATTTTCACTATTGAGCAAATCATCGATCACTCTTCATTACTAGGACAACGGTAGGAACTTCAAGGATTTTAAGAATTTAAAAGCGATTTTAGCCTCAAACGGGAAACCTAACAAGCCAGAAACTTTTGTACTGGGCCATTCAAAGGCGCTGGTTCTGAATGTGAAAGTGGCACTTCACTGTAATGCTTCTTTTAGCTATTTCTGGTTTGGGATAAATAGCGACTTTTATTCCAAAGATCATCAGAAGTGTGATTACACCAATAAAACAACTCGAGTAACTGGTAAAAAGTTATGTAGTGAATTCAACACGCCTGAAAACCTTGCTACACAAATTTCTGGAATTTTCGAATTTTTTTTTCATCAAAAGGCCTATTTTACGGCGGCGCCATATGCTGAAAGTTCAACCGTAATCCTACAGTAGTGAAGAGTGACCCGAGATTCTTCCATGCTATAAATCTACGTTGGACCTCGCTGTGTTCACATTTTTGGGACATTCTATATATCGATTGCACTCGGTTGCAGACAAGCCCCTCCGTTGCTGTAAACGAAGTAAAAAATGCAAATGTTCGTTCGTTTGAGAGACATATATTGCATAGAAAGTAGCCAAGTTTTTATTTTAAAGAAAGGAACCTTTGAAAAACAAACGTGCGCACCAACATTTGAGTCATAGGTTCCTGGCGCTAAGACGAACTTGTCCAGTGCCGCAAAGGTGCAAAAACGAATGTCAATAACGGCACTTCCCGATGTTTAGCCCAAATTTTGAGTTAACTTCTATGCTCTCATAAAACCAAACTCTTTTCCAGCTGTGATACTTAGCTGGTAGACAAGCCCCTATTAGATATTCATAATTGACTTTTTTACCCAAGTACTGACAAGCACTACAAGGCTTATGATACAACAAAAACCAGAGCCTTTATCCAGAAGACATGTTTCAAGAGGTACAACAATCTGCAACGATCAAACATAACTAGTACATGGTACAGAAGTGCACTGATACATCATTTTTCTTCACTTGGACATCCACCAAAGACTGAGCTTCGACCTGCTGTGTAAGATGTATGTAAGCTTAGATACAAGATATTGCTACAAAGAAGTTTCATATGCACAAAAAGGGAATATTTGAGTAAGACTCGTACATGGGAAAACCTAGCAGAGAATGCCTTGATGATAAAGAGGTGATCACTTGAGATACATTACAATCGAAAGCCATTTTAATGAGGATTAGTAAGAACTAATCAGAAAAACGAATACATACCACATTCTAAAGTCAAAAACTAAAACAATATTGATAATTACATACATCAAATTAACATGCATGATAATTTAAGGTCTAAAACATCACCGAGCTTACCACATTAGATGTTATTATAAGACAGCACTAGGCCTGGTATTAAAGTGCACGAATCATTTAACTTTTATAATAGAGTCAAGCTCTAATTCGCTGAGTAAATTTTCAAGATCCTCCATTTTACGTTCATTATGTTCTTCCAAGTAAGAATGTGCATATTTGAAGAATGAGTCCAGATCAGCGGCAAATGAAGATAGCGATGAATACTGAAAGATTAAAATGACAGAGATTAATAACGATAAAGAAAAAGAATATCTCGTACCTGATGTATTCCCTTTTCAATGCTGTTGATTGATGAAGGTGCTGCTCTTCTGGTTGCTCGTCCAGGTGGAATAGCTTGCAAAGCGCGATACAACCGGTTTTCAGACTTTACTCGACTTAGAAGATCCATACAATCCTGCCACAAAAAGCATAAATAATAAAAAAAGAGTTAAAGTGAATAAGTGAGTACCTCTGCAACTTTATTTGTTTTTGCTCGTTTCGCTCTTGATCCCTTATCTTCGGTCACCTCATCATCAAAAATGCTGTAGCCCTTCCGTTTAGTCGTTCGACGTGGCTAGAAAACACATTTCACCTTTGATTTGACACACCGAACTTGATTACCTTCTTCGAGAAAAAATCGTCGTTATCGTCGCTTCCTGAATCGCTTTCACTATCAGCAGATTCATCGCCACTCTCATCGTCTTCCTTGTAATTGGGCTTTGCTGCCCCACGCTGATTCACAGCTTCTACTTTGTTCTTTTTAGCTTCATTCTGCTTACAAGACGGACACATCCAGCTGGAAATAAGCTTTCAATGGAGGAAGCTTGTCAGATCCAGATGCTAGAAATTTTAAGCATACCTGACAGGTTTTTCTTGCAATTTAGGGCGAGTACAATAATAATGTACTACTGTTCCACAGCTGCTACAACTAATCTTTGCTTCTGGTGTCCTTTGGCTGCCGCAAGCATTACATCGCTAGAATAGCATATTACATTTCTGCTAGTGCAAATGGTCAATGAACTTACCTTCTCTACAACACTCTTCTTCCAGTCAATTCTCGAATCGAGATAGCTCCGCAATAGATGCACGGCTGATGCATTTTGGCATTCAGACAATCTATGTTTCCAGCGATCCATAATGAAGTGAGAAAAATGACCTGCAATGAACGCCACCCTGTCAAAAGTTCTTAAGAGAAGATAGTTCGTAATTCAAATTTATAATGCATTCAAATTACGAAAAAACGTGATGAGAAACTACCTGTCTGCACTGCGACCTTCATATTGAGTTTTCTCACTATTGCTGTCGGGTTGATGCTGTCTGCCAGTTCGGATAATTTTTCTATCTGAAAAACATTGAAATAGGGAGTCATTAGTATAAGACTGAGAACATCTACTCACAACTTCCTTAAGAGATGAACAACATGCGATTTCCGCTTCAAAAGCGTCCACACTGGCTACAGTGGTCAGATAGCTATCTCTCAAATCAGATGCCAGTTCAACAACGGATTTGCGTAGAGGAGTCAATGATTCAGGACAGAGATCTTCATTCTCATCATCCTCTTGGTCTGGTTTAGGACTAAAACTCAGCCGTAAGATAACAAGCACAGGCACAGAAATAACATTTAAAATCCAAGTTAAGCTTACGATTTGCTCTCTTTATCGTTTCCACGGATAATGCTGCTCACAATTAGATCTCGTTGCTTTGTGAAAGACTAGAAACAATCATTTTGATGTGCATGATAGTTTTTAATTCATGTGCTCACCGCTTTCAGATTCCCCTCTCGTACAGCCACTTTGTTTAGAGAATTTATCAGTTCTTCAAATGACTGTACATCAGGCAGCTTGTACCACGTTTCAGAGTAGCTTGAAAAAAGAATCACGGTGCTCAAACAAAATAAGGAAAATACCATAATAGTCCGCTTACCTTTCTGGCTCAAGTACAGGCCATCCTTCGTCGGTTTTTACTTCCATTGCTGAAGGAAGTGAAAGATCCGCGGAGTTCAGATTGTCATCCGTGGCTAATGCAGGTGCCTGTTCCACTTCCTCGTCAAAGGGTTTGCCTGCTTTGATGCATGCACGAACAAATTTTTCGTATGAGGTGACTCCAAACTAAACATAGTTTTTTAAAGAAAGATTGTAACTGAAAAGGTGCGTGTGAACACTCACATCTTGAACCCAAATTCCATCATCGCCTGTGTTTCCGTGAAACCAATAGTAGTTACGAAAATGGCGATCTCGACCAAGGGGAGCGATACGCCGTGACTGACTTTTCATCACTCTTTCAAGCGCTAGTTTTTCGAGCAACTCCTCCAATTTGTTTTTACTGTCCTCAATCTTCCCTTCCAGAGTTTCTCGTTTCTTCTGCAGTTCTGTTCTTTCGCGAGCTTGAGAGCGAGAAAGTTGAGCTATGTCGACAACTTCCTCTATCTCGGGGATTTTCGCTAGATCTTCTTGCCACGAGTTGATCTTTAAACATGAAGATATGATTAAGAGACATGAAAAATGAGATCAATGATTGATTGAGGAAAATTAAAAAAGTATGTGTACCTGCTCATTGATTTTGCTAATTTTACCCTTCAAGGTTTGTACTGGACCTGTGTCTCCCTGATCGCTAATGTACTCCTAAATAGCATCATATATGAATGATGATAGATAACAATGTTGATGCAAACCAATCAGACCTTGAAAGACCCCAATTCTAGTACACGATTGAGCACAAGGTTTAGCACGCCTAGCTGGTCCTCCGGCGTTAACTCCCAAATTTCTTTGTCCGGCGCAAAACGATCAAGCAGTGTCTGACAAACATCCTGCAAACAATCTCAGTACTACAAATCACACTCGTAATAAAACTTACGACATCGATTTGTGAGACATCAAGAGCTCCAGGTGTTCCCCGATCACTTTCTACTGCGTTTTCATCAGCGTCCTCTTCTTGTGTTGTACCGTTTTGTTCATCATCAGCATAATTGCTTCTGTGAGATAAAAAGATAATATTTACGTCAATGCTAAAATCGCATGACTTACTCTTCCTCTAAACCCATGCTCCTCATAAGAAGTGCACGACACAGCTCAGAAACGGTGTTTTCTTCGATGGGATATTCCCTGAGACGAACATCAAAGTGAGATAGCTTCTGAAACATAGTATATCAACTAAATGAAATCATGGTCTAATAACATGACGGACGCTATGTTCAGGATCCTGCAAAAGGGTTTTCAAAAGCGATCCGAGCAACTTCGAAGTGCATTTCATGAAACCAACTCTGCCTTCGTGCACAGCATCAAGAAGTTGTCCTGAAGATACATGGAATGATGTACATACAATAACATACAATAAAAAAACAGACTTGCTGTGATTTTATGGTCGGCCTCGATGAACTTCTTCATAGTAGAAAGAAACTGTGTGAGAATCAAACAATCGGTGAATAGCAGCGATTGACCAGTTGGGATTGGTACAATACGCCCCGGACATGGCAGAGGCTTATCGCATATAGTTAGATCATCATCGGCTGTTTTCTACAATCAGAAAATGCTTTCATTTACTTTCAAGCTCTCATAATCACATTACCTAATACACGAGATATAGTAAACATAGCACCAACATGGAGATTTCGAGAGCGCTTACCTGGTTGAAGTATGCTTTGATTTTTGCTGTCATTACTTTCTGATGATGATGCCGCTCTTGATGTATTTTTTCACGGAATTCCTTTCGGGCTTCTTTTGTAGTCAACTTCTTCCTAAAAAGCGTTTCGTGGTAACATCTCGAAGTCGGTAGCATCGATTCCTTTTTTATACAGGGAAATATAGCAGTCGAAACGGTTAAACACAAAACCCTATCACTTACAGCGTCTCAGCATCCTTTACTTTATCGTAAGCATGCCGTACAGCATAACGATGGCATTCATGAGGGATCTTATCAATTTGTACACCGGAAAGGAGCTTCGCGGCTCGTGATGCAGCTGCCATGAACTCCTAAAAATCAAAATTTTAAGCTAAACATGTGAACATAACAAAACTACTCACTTCCTCATCTCGTTTGCGCCATGCTTCCTTGAGCCTATCCACAGCAGAATTAAATCGCTTTTCGCTCCAACTTTGAGGAGTGAGCAAAGAGCTGCTGGAGGCACTCGACTGATCACTGCCATTTGCAGGGGTCGCCGATGTCATGAATTTATCCAATCCCTGAAAGGTACACGTGAGAAAAAGAAGGACTGGATCAAGATATGTAGCTTATTACCCCATTTTCTTTCGCACTAGATTCCTCGGGTTTCACTTTTGTCTGTTTCTTCTTATCTTTTTTATCCGTTTTCTCCTTTTCTTTCTGATCTTTCTGTTGCTTCTTTTCCTGTTTCTTCCTTTGCTTCTCTACGTCCTTCGAAGACGCGTTGGGAGGCAATGCGACACCACTTCTCCTGCCGACAAAAACAACGAGAGGAGCATCCGAATCCGAATCCGAGCTCTTTTCATTGTCATTCTAAAGATTTTGGCATGAAAAACAAATATTCCGTCAACTTAAACTTACACTGGCAGCCTCTCTACCAGTCGTATTCACAATGATGTTGGATGGCTTGGCATGCGAGGAACAAAATATCGGCGCCAGCTTGTCTTTGATATTATACTCTTTCTTGTAAGCCTCCTCAATCTGAGCAAAACCTTATATGCAGATAACTTAACGATAATAAAGAAAAATCCTGCTGCATACCTGCCAAGGTTTTCCTTGATCGTGGCTCGCCATAAGCGAAATTAGTGAGCGAATGTCATCCTCAGTTATTTTGTAACGCCGTCTGAACACATTATTGATTAACATCAAACGCGGCCTTGGTCATTACTTAGGTTAGATTTCATTGAAAAACGAACTTCAAATCATGCTTGCTGATTTTGCCAATTTCCTTGTCATCATATTCTATCGTATAGAAAACAGCACCGCCTTTCTTCTCAACGCCCAGGATTTTGGCTTGCACTGTCCTGAATGAAAGCATGGAAATCAATATCGCTCCGAAAAAACCATCAGGGGATGTAAAAACAGGCTTGTGATATCGTGAAAAGATTTTATAGCATGTTATGCACTTGATTACAATGAGAAGCTGCAAAAATGAATTCTAAAACAAGACCTTTTCCTGGGAAAAATGTCAAGAAATGATGAATCATCATTGGAAAGAAGTACAACGAATAAAACTGAAAACCAAGTCGACCAACAAAATCATCAAAAAAATCATACCTGTCTTTACTGGGAGAGAATTCGACATGTTCACCCTTGACGAAAAAATCTTCAAGATAATTTTCAATAGAATCAACTAGAGCATCGAGTGAGTATGTACCTGAAAGTAGATTCGTAGACAAGAATTACGAAAGTCCCAAGAAACTTGGAAATAGAGCACTCACTGTGATGAACGCGATTGCACACTTCCTGTACGACCGGCTTTTCAATTTTATTTCGTAGCTGGTTTAGTCTATCATTTTCTTGCAACATTACTTCTTCATCAGTCAGGCAAACGATTTCTTGTTCGGAGTTACAATCGTCCTTCTCCTCGTGGCCTTTTCTAAAATAGAATGTTTGAAACTTACTGCAAGAAATAAGTCAGACCAAGAAGATATGCACGATTCGAGGAGCATTACTAATCAATTTTATAGTGGACTAGAATGCCGGAAAACGTAGAAAGCGGAACAAGTGCGCGAAAGGGCGCAGACAGCAACGTTGGCGCGCTGCCAGCAAGTAAACACCATTCGAATGACGTAGTTTTCGCGGGTTCAGGCTAGACAGCGCTGAGTAATCTCACAATCACGTGCTATTCCGCAACATTCACAAAAACTCGCTGATTTGTCGGCAGTATGTTCTCCACGTAGTCTGAGTGTCGTGGTACTAGAATCTTTTTTTTTTCACTGTTAACGAGCAATTTGCCTCTGTAAAAGGTTTCACTTACTTTATTAGTTTAATGAACTGCTCCGATGAACGACGTCCTGTGCTCATGTTGCTGATGTCGGAAAAAACTGTCTTCTTCGGCGAGGATATTGAATTAGTCGCTTGAGCCAGGGGCATGCCTGGTGCTGGAAAAAAGCAGTTGTAAGCGCATATATGCTACAAATTTACTAGAGCTTCAGTGGTTTTGCTATATGGCTTTGGCCGGAAATCACTCAAAACTGCCCAAAAGTGCCCAAATTTCTCTAACGTTTCTGCACTTGCTGTGTGAGAAGAGATAGAGGAAGTGAAGATGTTAAAGAAATTTGGGCGCTTTTGAGTCAATCCGGCCTGGGCCTATAGGAACTACTAAAATTTTCTAATCCTGAGCCAAGGTTGTCGTGGAGATTACGCAGTCTCAAAAACAGACAGCTTTTCAGGAGAATTAGAAGAAAATAGTTCAATCAATTCATGGATATTTAATGATGTCAGTTTCTTGAGGAAAAGAATTCTTTAATTGACCTATATTTCAGAATATAGTGAAAAGAATGTCTATTCTTCACCAAAGATGGCTAAATTGACAAGGATGATAGACAAAAATTGCAGCTGTCGACACACAACTACCCCAAAGAAATAAAACTTACGATGACCATGCTAGAATTCAATTTGTATAATCAAATATTGTCTAAATCTAATATTTTAAGCCATGATTTACACATATCCAAGCAAATAAACAAATATAATTAGCCAAAGCAAGCATTCGCCTGAAGAATTTGCGTTCAAATGCGCGATAGTGACGCGCTCATCCAGAGCCCGCGAAATTCAAATAGTGCCGCGCTCTGCATGGTATGGCATCTCTCATAATGGTCTGAAAAACGGTCGGATGCATTTTCTGACAATGAGTCCTAAATAGTCATGATGAAGAGGTTGAAAGAAATAACAATCTAATTTCGTTTACTTAAGAAATGGTAGTCTCGTGACCAAAAACGATGTGCGTCTCATTTTCATCCACTGTCTTGATCGATTTCTAGTGGATGAAATGGGAAAGCCTGGAATTGTCGAGATAAGATTGTGGAGAGAGGCGTCTGCACTATTTTCGCACAATACCCGGTCCATTTCAATTTTTTAGTTTTGTTTGATTCAAATTGTTTGATTTTTGGTTTTTGCATCAATTTCTATTTCCAAATTCTCAATTTAAACATCTTAATTTCACTGAAACTACAGCGCTGTCTGAAGTGTTGTGGCGTTTCAATGTAAATATACAAGTGTTTTGTAAAACTCGGCAAAATCAGCGCTTGCAATGTTTATAGTTTTAGAAATTTATCACGCATTTGAGTTTGCTCACATAAAGGGCAGTTGACTGGTAATCTCACGATAGATCGAAATGTCGTCACATTTTTTCAACAATGCTAACTTCCTGCTGTATCCATAGTGCTTGTTTTGATTTTTATTCAAAAATATTAATATTATGTTTATATTAGCTTTATCTGCAGAGATAAAATTGGACAAAGGAAATCACTCAAACTCCCGTGAGTTTGAGCAGGCTAATCAAGAATCTAAACTCTAAGCAATAGATTCTAAAACGGTGGTGTCGTTAGATTTGTGACATTTGTGACAGTTTGTGACAAACAAAGTCTGCACTGATCGAGCTTTTCTATGAAAAGTTATAGTTTTCGAGAAAAATGGTATAAAATAGATTTTTCCTTTTCGTGCTGTCCTACGAAAACCATAACATTTCGTATAAAATTACGACCACGTACTTTGCTTGGTTAGAAGGAGATTGGGGAACTTATGATGCTGAATTTTGGATTCCAATACCAATTTTTTAGACATTAGGCGCGCTCAAAATATGACAAGCCCGGGTGATCTCCTTTGTCTGTTTTTACTTCTACAAGCAAAGCTCGAATAGCCGAGATTTCTCGTTAATGAGACCCGGGTTTGTAATGAAAGAGGAACTCAGCGGTAGAAAGATGGGCGAGACTTACTGTTTATTGTGTGTTATACGTTTTTGAGGTTAAAACAAGCGGATTCATAAAAAACCTTCATGTAAGAGCATGTTTGAGCTCGTCAAACCACGTTGGCTTGAAGACGTTCTTTCACGAATTCTTTGTAGTAATCAGGGCCCGGCACCGATGGTTTGGGGTCAAACTGGACTTCGTTTTTGGAGTTAGAAGCAACGGGGACATCGTTTTTATGAGGTCCTGGAGGAAGCGCCAAAAAAACACGACGAACATGTCAGGTTTTACGAGTTGAACGTGTTCTTTCGCAAGCGCGCGAATTTCAAATACAAGACTCAAACAAACAAATGGCTTGTTTACAGCTCACAAACAATCACATGGCTCCGAATTTGGGCTATGAGTCTACAATATTACTTCAAACTATGTTATGTAAAAAGTTCCCAAAACTTATGTGTCTGAATACCCGTTCCAGATTTGTTGGTTTCTAGACCAACCACCGAACCAACTGGGTTGGTTCGGAGCATAAATTTCGGAGAGTTCACATAAGTTTTAAACCTTTTTGATTTGGACGATTGAAACGCTCAAAAATCTATCATATAGTGAAGAGAGCGAATCAAACCATTGCCTCTCCTCTCTTCTTTTGAGCCAAAAGTAGTGCAGTTCTGCGCGTTGATAGATATTGCGCTCCAATCACACGCGGTGTCCTTTGAACTATGTGGCGAAAAATGCATCGCCGGGTTGTTGAGGCCACAGATTTGGTTGGCCTAGGAGGTTTTCGATTTCCGAGCACTAAAATGGTGCTATACCCAATGGCAGAGCCTTTAATCTACTCGAAATGTATTCTTTTTGCTTTTTTGTTATACTATATAACTCAAAATGCGCTTTTTTCGCCTTTTTATTGTTATTTTGGTTGAATGAGGATTTCCCTATTGCCTTTTACAACGAGAGGGACTTCGTAAATTTTCGAAAAGTCATGGGGGACTTCGTTTCCAGAAACACTTCAAACCAACGCGTGCCGAGCCCTGGTAGTAATCGACCAAAACGCGTTAGAACAATTCATGAACTTGTTGATCAAACACGCAAAGGTGCTCACTTCGCATAGTCAGAGAATGAATGGTATATAAGTTTATTTTTAAAACCGCTTCGTTTGGAACTGCTGCTTGAAATCAGGGCTCGGCACAGGTGGCTTGCAAGCAAGCTGGATATTATTTTCGGGACAGAAAGTAAAGGGAGTATTGTTTTTGAAGCTGAAAAGACACAAAAATTGCGAAGTTTTTTTTAGTCGAAGTTTCATTTTTGGTGGTTTTTTCTTAGAATTAAGGTTTAGGGCCAAAGGGTCTTCGTAAAAATTCGCGAAACTCAAGGGGACTTCGTTTTTAGCATTTTCAAAAGCCACCTCGTGCCGAGCCCCTTTTGAAACACTTGTGGCAAACCACAACTGCAGTAGTGGAGTTCAACTGCTCATACGACCCTGGAGCTGATCATACAAGATTGCTAAGTTCAAGCAAACATTAAGATACATTTGGAATTTATAAGTAGGTCGACATTTGCATACCTCGAGATCCCTCGCAAACTAACTCTTTGTAAACAAATTATTACGTGGACTGTCAGGTACCTCATTCTTTCAAAAGGTTCTACCTCTATCTCCGAGTAAATTGCAAAATCCCCACATTATGAACTGATATATGCTTCAACTTTGGCATTAGGCAGTTTCCAAATTGTTGAAGGGAGATATGCGAGCGATGCTTTGACGCTTGAACACAGAATTGGAGTAACAATAGTTAGACAAAGTTTTACACAAAAGAGATTGGTGTCTCCTTGTTATTGGTTTTGATTACGTTGCAAATTAGTTCGACCTGAAGTTTGATTAGCTTAGCCTCCAGTGAATGATAGAGCATCTTCTTTGCATAAGACAAGAAAATTCTGAACTCACTGGTTGAACCTCAAGAGTTTCTAAACTTTGGTGCTATCACTATTTTTAGTTCTTGTCCCTGTTAACATTTCGAGGCAGCCATGTTTACGGTACGTAAGTCCTCACTGTACTTACAACTCATAAACCAGCATTCAGTAGCAAATGGTGATGAGACCAAAAATATATCGGTATGATACCACGTCCATTTGAGACAGCTATTATATTTGAATCATGCATTGCAAACAGCCAGCGTGAAGTGGCATATAAGGAGTTCAAAAACGAAATCTCCTTTGACACTGCAGAAAACTACAAGGTATAGGCGATTCCCATGCGTATAGCGGGCGTGGCCGTGCAGACATTTGAACAGGTTGGAAAACTTGTTGAACCTCCATTATAAAGCACTAGTTTTTGTACTCTTTCGCTATCAAGGTTGCTGCAGGTTACTTCCTGCTAATTCGACTCAATTTATAAAAAAATAAACTATCACTTCAACTTGTGGTTGCATCTCCATGAATGATACAGAGCACTTACTGGTTAAGCTTTACAGTGTTTCATAATGCTTTTGTCAAAATCATCATGTAGAAACAAAACGGAAAAATGAGATTTTCCATTTCGGAAAATGTCTCGAAACTGAGCTTGATGTCGAAGTAGCGAAGACAGCAAAAGATCCACACAAAGCATTCTTATCTCAAGCCTAAGTTTATTTGAGCAGCAGCATTATGCATGTAGAATGTGAAGGGGTCAGAGGGTTCGAAAGGCAGAAAAATCAGCGGCTTCTATTCTCGGGAAGCTATTCAACTGGTGCTTCTTGAAAAGGGTAAATTTGTTTTCAGAGAAAAAAAAACTCTCTGAATCAATCGAATCAATCTTTCGATACCAGTTAGAACACTGACCCCGAATCAAAAGCCATGAAATTTTTTTGCTATTTTTATCTTATGCTTAAAGCTGAATGTCTGTTTGTCTGTCTGTATGCCTCTCTGTCAGTGTGTACGTATGTACCGAATAGGGAATTCCATTTGTGAACCGATCCGGGCCAAACTTGGCACACATATACACCTCGGGCCAGGCGGGTGTCGTAGGCTACTTTTCGATTTTTATCGGTTTTTTGCAGAATTTGAGCTGGGAATTGGCACAGGGGGTAATCGAGCATGCTGATTACGAAAACAATATTAGCTAAAATTGTCAGATGCTTTTACCGATTTTGTGATTTTTCCAAAGTTTGATCTACGGAGCTGGACCTTTATCAAAGTGTTTTGACAGGGCTGGGTGGAGCCGGGTGAGCCAGCTAATCAGGGATTTGCGCCACGCGAGCGGTCCTCCTATAAGGGCTAGCGTACAAGTGGTCGATATAAGCCTAAAGCTTCCGTGCGTGCGGCAAACAGCTGAAGTGCCATCCTAGCGGCAGGCAATGTTACCGTGCAAACGGCCTGCAATACAAGTGCTCGAGCGAGCGCCCAGCAATGCGTCCGTCTTATCGGTCGGCAATACCTGCTGCCGTGCAAGCGGCCGACAGTGACTTCTATCTTCTGCTCACTATTTTCACACATTGTGAGCTCAAACGGTACCTGCGTGAGATACGATGCAGCGTTTAGGCCGGCTAAGCGTTGACATATCTTGTTATTAAATTTTCCTTCCCGCAAGGCTGGAATGAACCTGTGTGAAGCGTTACCAAGAGTGATGGTGTGGGCTTCATCACGGGAAGTTTGGCCACTGCTCAGGCATCGTTCGATGTTATCAGAATGCAAAAAGGACTAAAATATCCAAAAAAATGGTCAGGATATCCCATATAGATCTACTCCAACAGCAAGCGAGCGGTCGACCCCCGCGCAACCGGCGAGCGTTAGAAACTGTGCGGGCGCCCCACGTTAACCGTGCCAACGGCCCTTTGACGACCATACAATCGCACACACCGACGAGCGATTGTAGGGTCATCGCTGGCCGCTCGCTGGCTCGAGTCCCTGAGTAGGGTTTGTCATAAGCGATAGACTTTGCTAGTAGCTCTGCGGAGGTAGTTACAGATGTTAACAGACTGTGTGGAGCTATGCAAATAGATGTTTCATAAACTTAGTGTGCAGTAAGCAAAGCCGATAAATAAAAGGTCAAGTAGCAGTACGATATTTGTTTAAAACATGGTTATGGGCTGATCACTTGAGGAAAACACGAAGTGCACAATTTCGTAACTGAACGTAATTACTTATCCACTAAACGTGTAGACATTGGAGACCTTTGCTCAACTGGTCGAGTCTCAGACTCGGTATAGGCGAGTAGATGTGATGGTAAATGTGGTGTTTTTGCGGTGTTGATATTTTCCGACAACATTTGAACGTGAGCAATTTGTTGCGTCTGTAATGCTTGCAAACTGCGGGTGCAATGGCAAGAGAGCACCCCTTCTCGGACAATCACAAATGACTTCCGGGGAAAACTGAAGTTCCAAATCTTCCGGGGGACACTCCTATTGGAGCCGCCAAGTAGGGCAGGGCCCATCCACAAGGTCCAATAGGGACGTTCGCCCGGACGTTTTAGAAGTTCAGTTTTCCCTGGAAGTCATTTGCGATTGTCTGAGTTTGAGTTTGCGCCTATGGCAAGTTTACGTGCAAATATCGTCCAAGTTTCGGCATTGCAGGGACACCAAATTTAAAGTTGAATTTACTACTATTCAAGTGTAAACGATACAGAGTATTGCATACCAAGGCGCTAGTTGCAGAAGAAGCCTGCAGTGAAATAGCTTTGACTTGTAGTAAAGTACTTGCGCCATTTAGAGTTCGGCCTGTGGATAATGCCATCGATAATCAACACAGAAGATATTTTTTTAGATGCAGCCATGCAAAGTTCTCAAAGAGAAGAGCTGCCGGTTAGTAAGGTCGTGTAAAGTGCATGCACATATCGTCGTCCATACCAAGTCTGTTTATTAACTCAGCTTCTTATGTTTGAATTACTTTTCCATATAAAGGTAAGAGAATCAGTGAAAGCCAGTTTTACATTCTGCGAAGATGCTGAACTTAGTTCTTAAAACGGTATTTAAGTGCAAGCTACCCAGACTCAAATGTCAGCTACTTATTTTTACCTTTCAGAAACTGTTTTTATAGCGATTATCATTTTAGCCTCCATAGGTATGCTATGGTTCAACGTAAGCACCATGACAGCGTGCCTTTTTTAGATATGGTTGAAGCACGGGTGGAAAGTGCAAACCTATCGTCTGTGGAAGGACAAGTAAGTTATTTTAGCACTTTACCCTTCTTTCACTCTGATTCTGTACAGCAAACTTCGCTTCTGAATGGGCTAAGTACATGTGCACACTTTTTAGTTCTTACAAGAGAGGGTCACGAACTCGAAGTGGCTGACGAACTGCAAACCGTTAATGAGGCTTGGAAACGTTGTTTCCATCCGCTTCCCGTATATGAGAGCACCTAAAAAGTTATGGGCATTTTTAAGGCGAAAAAAATAAACTAATAGCCGGCATCAAATCAATCGTTTAGCCTTTGCGAATGTCAAGTGGAGAAGCAAAACAGTTTATTGTATGATGTATTCATTGCCGCTGCTTTATTTGAGGTCTAGCGAGGCTGTAGCGAATGATTTTATCCTGGCCATTGATTCATTTTCTCAAATAATCCTCATAACTTCCTAAAGGCGTTCTACAGATACGGAAAGCGTATTTCTGATCAGCATTCCAAGCTCTCGCTAATGGCCTGCAGTTTATGGTAATCGGCCACTTCGACATCGCGACTCTTCCTTGAGCAAAATTTTTGTCTGTGAAACTGAATGGTTTGAGAGTTGCAAATTATACGCGAATAGAAAGGCAAAATATAGCTGCTATGCTGATGGCGCATCAAAGCGACACTGAAGCATTTGATTGAATCGACTGAACTGTTCGAGAAAGGGCTGGCAGAAATCACTAAAAGTTTCATTGATTTTATCCTAAAGTTTATGTGGGGTACATAAAGCATAAAAAGTTCATCTTTCATCATTTTCGGTGTACTGCTCACATGAAACTGCCGGTAATATACGACGCGCTTTTTTCAAGAATTGATGTTTAGCATTGCCTTGGAGCTGTGAATATACAAAAGCAAAACTAATTATCTTATGATACCCTTGAGACATAATAAAGTCTGAGGCTTGAGTAGATCCGATTTTACAGGTCGCAGGTCCGCCTGGGCCGCCTGGTCCACCTGGACCACCGGGATCACCCGGAGAATTGGGACCACCAGGAAAGAATGGGGAAAGAGGACTAACAGGACCAGCTGGACCGCCAGGAAAATCAGGAGAGAATGGGGAAAAAGGAGAACAAGGAGAGGCAGGACCCCCAGGGCCACCGGGCCCTCCAGGACCTCCAGGAGAAAAAGGAGAAAAGGGAGAAGCCGGACCGCCAGGACCACTGGCAGAGCCAGGAGATGGAAATGGGGGGTCTACTGGTTTACAAGGACCACCAGGACCACCAGGCCCTCCAGGACCTCCAGGAGAGAAAGGAGACAGGGGAGAAGCCGGACCGCCAGGACCACCGGGAGAGCCAGGTGAAGGGAATCAAGGGAATGCTTTGCGAGGGCCACCAGGACCACCTGGACCACCGGGACCACCAGGACGCATTATCATTGTGCAAGTACCGTCACCACTACTGCCACCACCACGGCCGCCACCACACCCGCCTTGTGGACGAAGACCATGGTTGTATGGCTGGCGTGGAGGCCCTCATTACATTGAATGTTTCAGTGAAAGCGGCTATACCACAGACGGACCATGGTGAGTGAGCATATACGGTAAAACCTGTAGTTTTTCAACCACATTTTACAGGATGTACAAGCGCCGTTAACATCAAACTTTTTCACTTCCAAAAAAATTGCACGGTTTGTGTAATAGCTGCAGACAATAAGGTTTGATCATCCATGTGGAAACTGTTAGGCAAATTTGTTTTAATCAAGTGCGTTACCAAGAAGGAAAGCACTTTGTCAAATCTAGAGGTTCAATTCATGTTGTGTTTATACGTAGTATTCAATACGTAACAGTGATTGAAACTGTTATCTTCGAGTAAATAATTGTTATCCTTGCACTTTGAAAGCAGTAGCATCACAAGCAATTGTCTTTGACTATAGAAAACGATTATTTGAATTTCATCAGCTATGAAAGGTCACTAGGATAACTTGCTCATTGTGACATGATACACTGTAAATCAGAAAATTGTGAGTATGAAGCAGATAGTAGCGTATTGCCAGGCGGACAACTATCCGGAACTGCTTTCTCAATCCTTCTTTCCAAACTGAAGAATTTGAAGATTTGACATGCGCTAACACACAGCATTTTATACATTGATACATAAAACTTTGATAACTAACAATATCAAAAAGAGACTAACAAGGACATTCTGGAGTTGTGTACGTGAACAACCTGACAAGCCGGATTAGATTCGGAACGAGCATTTTGCATTGTGCTATATTTTCTAAGGAGAAAAGATGTTGTGGTAAGCATCAATTTTTCGTCCACTTACAAAAGATCTTTTTTTTTCACGATCACTCAGTGAGCGAAAATTTCTCTAATCTGACTGTTTAAGCGTCACCAAGCTTGACTACTGTCAAAATGAGTCGAACAGCGTAGGGAGTAAACATTAAGTACATGCCAAATTGCCATAAAAATCATAAAATCGTGATACGCCAACAAATTTGTATTTATCAATGAGAAAGATTTTAATCTGTTACGAGTGTAATTTTTTGTTGATTATCTGGAAGCCTACCCTCATTATATATTTTTGAAGCCTCAATGAAAGATTAAGGTAACGTTCAAATGCCCCAGAAGCCAGTTATCATACAAAGATCCATCTCCTTGAACGATGTCGACAAAGGCCATTGCATCCAGGGCCCGGCATAAGCCCGTTTTTTAGGCTTTTCAAAAACGAACTCCCCTTAACTTTGGCCAAAACTTACGAAGTCCCCTTTGACCTTAAACTCTGTAGAAAAACCCTTAGAAAACGAAACGTCGACTAAGAAAGTTTTTGCGTCTCGGCCACGAAAACGAATTTCCTTTTGCTTTTTCGCCCCAAAAACGAAGTACAGCTTGTTTTCATACGATCGTGCCGGGCTGACTGCATCCATTTGTAAACAAGCCATTCTCGTGTTTTGCGAAAGAGTAAGAAAACACTTGAACCAATTCACCCTACGCCAAACCCCGACCCATATGTCAAGAAAGAAGTCGTTTGAAGAAGAGCAAGTTACCTAGGCCTATCAAATATCACCGATAGTGTAAACGGAGAGAAGGCCAACAACTTTCTTGCACATTTGATTATTAGTAAATGTACTTTTGGTTTTAGTAATATTTATTCGAGCAGAGTTGGTCTAGCAAAGAGAATTCAAGTTTCCTACGTGTATAAAACTGGAGCCTGTCATGTTCGTTTATGGCCGGATTTTTTCCATTGGAATTGCTGATTTCGAAAGCTCATGGTTTGCTATAGTAAGTTTTAATTCAGTTTAGGCGAAAATTGGAGGGCAGGGATCCTTCGCAGCGATTCGCGCCGCTTTGCAATATGCGTCTCTTCATTCTAATCTGTCTCGCTGAGCCAGTGGCGGTGTGGACGCGCTGCTCCAATTGGAATGTTTCGCCTGCTCGGGGTTGAAAAAGACTGTAAATAATCTTTTGCATGAATGATTTTTCGTTCCGCTTGTACTAATCATTAACAACAGCAATGATCTTCATGCTTCAACAGCATGACCTCGTCATAGACACAGACCCGTATTTGCAGGCTACGAATGAGTAAAAAGGCTACTGCATGACGAAGAATGCAGAAGCAGTATTAGTTAAGCGGGCGCGAACGCGGCTAGCCGCGTATCCTCACCGTTGCAGTCATGCGCCTATGCGCTCTGCGGTTGACACATTGACGACCATGCAGATGTTTAGTTGTCTGCCTTTTAAGACCAAGGCCTTTTTACGGACCGCCCACTTTTTCAACAATAATTACGCATACTGCCATCTACAGTACACCTGCAGTAGATCTGAAAGGTTGACAAGAAAGTTAGAAGTCATCCCTAGATTCTATGCAAAAGAAAGCTCATGGAGTGGATTTATTTCAGGATAGTAGTCATTTTACCAAAATCAAGCCTTGACACACATGGTGTGTCAAGCGGTCCCACGCGGTAGTCATTGCTTGACACACCATGTGTGTCAAGCAGTCGTCAATGTGTTAAAAAAGCCGCGTTCGCGCTCACAGATATTGCTTTCATCATGCAGCACGTATACGTATCCTTCTTTACTTCAAACTATTGATAACTTTTCTTTTATTTATATACAGAGCTGAATGTCTGTTGTCTGTGTCGGTCTGTATGTATGTTCCAAATAGAAAATTCGATTTTTGAACCGATCCGGACCAAACTTGGCACGCATATTTCGGGGCGGGGCGGGTGTCGTAGGCTCTTTTCCTACCGATCGATATCGGTTTTATCGATTTTTTCTTGTAGACTTTGACCTGCGGGGCTGGGAGTTGGCACAGGAGGTAAGTAAGCATGCTGTTCACGAATACAATATTAGTTTTTAAAATTATCGATTACCTCTATCAATTTTATCGATTTTTTGCAGAGTTCGATTTACGGGGCTGGGAATTGGCACAGAGGGGTAGAGCATGCTGATCACTACACAGCGGAAATTAGGAATTGGCATGTATAAATGGGCACAGGGAAAGGTTGTGCAGGGATAGGGATGGAACCTTTATCATAGTGTTTTGACAGGGCCGGGAGGAGCCGGGTAAGCCAGCTAGTAATATATAATGTGCAAACTCAATGATCACAATGCTCTCCTATCTTTCTGACACTTTTTTGCCCTTGTTTCTTTGTTAAAGTCGACTGCACGAAATTGCTCGGGTCGTTGTAAGCTGAACGCACGCGAGCTTGCCTGCAACGCGGCTGCCGAGTTCTGGCGCTATGTGACTCATGCGCACGAATGTAAATGTTTCATCCCGGTCGATTTCGTGCAGTCAACCATGTAAGCAATAAGAAAATAGGAAAAGTAGGACCTCTGTCATAAACGACGTGATATAGAATGCGAAATTGGAGAAAAGGCTTCAAATGCAATATTATTCGGAGGTGTCGCTGAAAAACCTTATTTGGATTAGACATCTAGTAATTATAGCGCTTTTTGCCGTCCATTTTCTCAGTGTTTTCAGAGATGTCTCAGAGTTCTCCTCTACTTTCCCATTCAACTGACCAACTAGAGTCACCGGCGATTCGATACGGGCCATCCAGATAGGCTTGCACACAGTTGTTGGAAGGAATAACTCACAGAATTCAACTCATGCCAAATACCGATGAATTTTGCCAAAACAGGACTTTATCACTTTTTTAAAGTTGCTGCTTTATGCGGTTGCTTGTTCACGAAAATTCATCTCGTCTGACTCTGATGAATCCGGCGCTCAGCGGAAACGAAAGTGAGGTTCACTCAAACATCGCAAAGCACTTCCGGCGCAAATTGAACTTTTAAAATTTCGGGGGGGGGGGGGACACTCCTGGAGCTGCCAGGTAGCGCGGCCCACGCCGCACGGTCCAGTAGGGGCGTCCCCCGAAATTTTAGAAGTTCAGTTTGCGCCGGAGGTCTTTTGCGATTGTCTGAGCAGTAGTATATTGTGTCATGCGGTAAGATATTTGGATATCGATTCAATTTTTCTGAAATATTTGGACATTCTTTCTTAAACCAGGTTAACTTCATAGCTAGACAAAAGAGAACAATGCCCTCCGAAATTTTTTTTGGGATGCAACATTTCTACCGGCTTGTAACAGGCTTGTAACGCTGGCCGAAAAAATAGAATGTTGCAACGGACATGCCCGCGGTAAGAGTTTCACGAAGTCAACTTAATTCTTGGATATTGAGAGTTATTCGATCATTCGCTCCAAATTTCGGTTTGCTCGAGGCGGACGTCTGCCCATCGTTTTTCTTTCTGTCCATTGAATGTTTTGCGTGAGCTATGCGTTTAAAGTCTAGTACAAATAAATTAGTAATTTTGTCCGGTATAGACACTCGTCACAATTGTCGTCGGAGCTGGACAGCTATTCGCTGCAGCGAAGGTTGAGTGGAAAGTATATCATATCTATCATGCAGAAGCGATGTCTGAGCCTTCATCATAGTTACTTCAGTTCGACTGCCTGTTTTATGTAAGAAATGATTTGCGCATTTGCCTGTTACTGTTTATTGTTTCTTCTAAGCGGGATTTCATTCAGTCGAATACAATAAGAATGCCCTGACAGAAGAATGTAAGTAGGAGAAGGGAGAGATACTTAATCACGTTTGCAGTCGTGCGGCTTGGCGGACAACCTGCAATAAGTATTATAAGAAGTTTTGCAGTTGAAATGTCCACTTTTTGATTGTGACGAGTTCAGCTCAATGTAAACTTACGTTTAACGACCGGGTAACGAGAGAGTTTAGGACGGAGAGCTCAATCATTCACCCTTCTCTGCAAAAGCGATTTGAGTCTAAACCAAATTTCCTCTATGGGTTGGGCCAAACTGAGCGACGTGCGCGGCTTACACGGCAGAAGCGACTATCATGTTCATAGAAATATGGGGCGTACACTGCATATGCCGCACAATCTGTCCCAACCTCATTCTGACGGTTCACCTTCAGTTTCCTTGGGCCATAATTTCTTTCCTTTCTTTCATCCTTCCTCAGAATATGTTTCTTCATGTAGTTTGCTTCTTGTTTCTTTTCTTCATTGTGCCTTCTTTTTAGAAGCCGCTTTTCACCATTTAATGGTTGTGCAGCTGGCTTTAGAATTCC